GACTGAAGTGTAGGTTAAGTGGGATTCTTTCGGCAGCCGCTGGCTGTTCCACTTGGTTGAGGAAGACGTGATCTGAGCGAGGTCCTCCTCTGCTTGCAGGTGTACGGCGCGGTGAGCTCGCTGCAGCTGGCCGTGGCCGAGCTGGAGGCCGGGAACCTGGCCTTCGCCTTCCAGTCCAGCAAGGAGGCCATCCTGTCCTCGGAGAGAGCCTTCTTCGACCCTTCCCTGCTGCACCTCCTCTACTTCCCCGACGACCAGAAGTTCGCCATCTACATCCCCCTCTTCCTGCCCATGTCCGTGCCCATCCTGCTGTCGCTGCTCAAGATCGGCAAGGAGTACCGGCAGAGCCGCGCGCAGCGTCCGAAGAGGGACTGAGAGGGGCCCCGCTCGGCCTCAAGTGGACCCCCTTGACCTCTCTCCTCTGGTTTTCTATACATGCATCTACGGAGTGTGCAAGGAACAAGTCCAGGTTTATTTTGTGCTGAATGGAGAAGAAAAACACAGCGTTTCTTCTGATGCTTGAAGAGGGCTCCACAGCCGAAACGTTGCGTTTCTCTTCTTCTCTTTTCAGCAGGGAATAAACCTCTGCTTGTTCCTTTGCAGCCCACGCGTGCTGACGCAGCTCCCTGCCTGAACTGTACAGAATGAGGGTGTGTGTGTGCTTCCCCTGAAGAGGACCGGCATGGTAGTGCTTTGTCAGGGCGTAAGACCTACTGCATCCCGAAACCTTCTTGAAACGTTCTTCAAACGGTGCACGCACCTGGATCGGGAAGGTTCAAGTCCTACTTCTCGGTCCCCTTGGCACCATGAATAGAAATATGCGTCACAAAGCAAGCAGCTAGCCTGCCTGTCATTAGGCATGCAGTAATTGGAGTAGGTACAGTAGGTACGTCAGCATGCATAGGCTGTAAAAGAACGGGAAAGGGTTTATTCCGTGCTGAATGGAAAAGTGTAGAAGGCTGCACAGCCAAAATGTTGTCTCTTTCCCTTTCAACAGGGAATAAACTTTTATCTGTTCCTTTGTATACAGTAAATTACTAAGGCATCTGCTCTACGTTGAAACCAGCGCACTGGTTTCAGAAGGGTTGTGGCGATTTGGGGATTGGCTTTCTCCCGGCATTGGGCCCAGCACTGAAATATGCTCATCACTGGATTATTTTCGAGTCTGCTGTTCATGGATCGCAGACTTTCTCGTTATGACGTTTTGGGTGCTCGACGTGTCTGTTCATTCGCTCCTGCAGCTCAAAGGATCCGCGATGGACTCCATGTCGGAACGCTCTCCTCTGTCGGATGGTTTTCCCGGCAGGATGTGTTGAACGTGGAGGCAGTAGACACAGTACGAATGTGATTGATCTGGATGCCATGCTATTTCTGTCTGGATCAGTATATGTATGCGTGTGGTTGTGTTGTTTTCTTGAGTATTTGTTGTTTGTGTTTCTTAGAACCTGTTTTCTTGTGGGGTATTTCTTCAACATTCTTGATTGTTGGATTTATCTATTAAGAGAACAGTAAAGCAGATGCTGTATGAAGCACAGTGGGTTTGAGAGAAATCTGTGTGAAAACTATTTTATTTATTGTGTTGATGGTATATTTTAAGATTCTTTAACACCTTGATAATAACCCCCTACATGAACACGGCTCTTTGTATTATAACATTAAGAATTTAAATGTAGAAATTAGAATTACCTCACGGCCAGTGTTTTTGCATGAGAATGAAATGGATTTCCTATCAAAGATCAATTATTTTTATTTCTAAACTAGAAAACAGAGACTCTCGGGAAAGGGAATGTCAGTGTAGCTCCGAGATGAATTCTGGGACTTCGTTGGCACAACAAACCTTTCCTAGAGCAGAAAGTTTAAATATCACACCTGTGGTGTTCCTTGGCAAAAGAGTTACAGTTCCCAGCAATAAATCAAAGCCTAGACATTAAACAGAAAGTAAATAAAGTGTATAGGCACAAACAAACTGCTTGAAACCTGCATGTTTCTACAGAGGTTACCCAAGAAAGACTGTACACGATAGTGGTTGAAACAGGCTTTAAATCCATGCCTGCATACAGCACAGGTAGTAGTTCAGGTGGGTAGCTGCGTCAGCATGCGTAGGCTGCAAAGGTATGCTGCTTACAATTGTATATGGGGTTGTACTGGTAACTTGCAGAGAATGACCTCTTAACTGGCTTCATCCTCTCTAGAAACCAGGAATGTATTTCCATTCCCAGGAGCTGACAATATTCCCGAAACTGCCTTGGGAAAAGAGGAGGGGTGCAGGCTTTTTGGGAAAAAGAGTTGTGGGGAGGTGGGGTGGGGTGAATTGCCCCTTATCCCCGTTGTGCTGTTGTGTGCCTGGAATGTGGCGCCTCTCAGGCTCACAGGCGAGACACGAGCACCCTGCTGCCAGCCTGTTTCACACAGCAGATGCCCCGGGCTGTCGCCCCGGTCCCCATGCCTGTGTCCAAGTGCATGAAGCCGAGAAACTGCAAAAGGCCCTACACGCGTTTCAGATTTTTAAGATATTAATCAGATGTTTTCAATTTGTTACATTACTGCTCCCTTTTTAAAATGGGAAGGTAATGACTCAGGGCCCCTTGCGACAAAAAAATACAAGTGTTGACCGAGTTAAAATCAGGCTTTTCCATTCAGCGGCCAATTTCAAACTTAAATCCATACACTCTGCCACTGACGTAGGCTTGAAGTGAGCTGTTTAAAAATTTCGTGCTGAAGAAATCCTTGTTTTCAACGTAATGGAGTGTTGCAGAGTGAGGTTAAGGCCCATGCCTGCTACTAACTTTGACCTGAACGTGTTTTTTTTGTTGTTGTTGTTATTGTTTTGTACTTTTTATTTTTGGAGGGGCAAAAAGAGTCGCACCAGAATCTCTGTGAATCAAAATAAATAAAAACAAACACAGATGAAGTGTGACTTGTGAGTCCTCTCCAGTTCAGGGAAAGTGTCCCTGCTCTTTGTGTTGTCTAAGGCTGATGTTTGTGTTGGTTTGTTGCTGCTTAGCAACCAATAACTCTGCTATGGGCTCAGTGAAGAGGGTGATCGTGTTTAAATTTCTGTTTGTTTGTCAAGCAAACTTATTTCAAATACTGTCGGTTATTCCACAAAGTTTTAAAAAGTGAGCACACAAAGAGAAAATGGCCGACTGTTCCCGCACGGAGTGGCCGGTGCTTTGTCTATACAGAAGCCAGGAGCCTGGATGCCCTTGAGGGGTTTTATCTGCTGTCCAAAGAGACTAACGGACACGGTTACCCCCCCGTCCAGTTCAGCTGTGAATAAAATCCACATTCTTGAAAACACTTAATCTGTGGAACTGCTTTTCATCTTTCATTTTCATTGCTATCGCCGATTAAGGCAATAAATAGTTTGCATTTCGATTTCAGATTTGGGAGTCATCTTTCGAAAAGCGTCTCATTCAAACAAGTTTTTAAAAGCGAGTGATGCACAGCACACTTAAGACTAACAAGCTATTTATCTGTAATGTCTGTTTCTGGGCGTCTGGTCCTAGAAATCTGATTTCTCAACACTAAACCGTTCTTGGATACACTGATATTGTAGGGTGTCTTTTATCTTTTTGTTTTTTTGCATTAGGCATTGTAATACTATCGAAATCTCTTATTTTTTCAAACCTACTTTATGTAGGTTTTGCACAATTTGAAATTATGAGGTCTGTTGATTGTACATTGCCTTCGATAAATAAAGTCGCTATTTTATAATAGAAAAAAAAACACATTTTCTCAGTTTTCAGAAACTCATAGTAATTTGAAACTGGCGCAGGAGGGGCTTCGGGCGACGCGACCTAAACGACGTCACTGTAGCGTGTGGCCCCCCAGCATAAAAGTTCAGGGTTCGCTACAGGTTCCTCCGTTATTTTATTTGCAGCGGCGGAAGAAAAATATCGAAAAAGCCAAAGCCTTTTATACATTTATTTTCCCTAGTGGGCATTTAACGTACTCGGTGTTTTAATTTTATTTTCCACGCTGGCGCAGCGAAGTGGTAAACAGGGGATTATTTTATAGGTCGGAGGTGCACTTCCAAGCCGGAGAGCGCGGAGCGGGCTCGGTCGGTTGTGTTCCTCCGCCAGCGCAAGACGGTTCAAACGACTGGGACAGCCGGCGCCATTTTGAAGAAGGCAGGGAGCGGAGTGAGTGCGTGGAGACCGAGGCGCACGCTAGAAGATAAACGGGGCATCAAGTTTGCAGCACGTGAGCCGTGAGCGGGCAGGCTGCTAGCCGTTTGTCATTTTTTTTTGTTTTAAGTCGCGGTAGTAGCGGTTGAGCGGTTTCCTCGCACGATGTCTGGCGGTGGTGTGATTCGGGGCCCTGCTGGGAATAACGATTGTCGGATCTACGTGGGGAACCTGCCCCCAGATATCCGCACCAAGGACATCGAGGACGTTTTTTACAAGTACGGGGCCATCCGGGATATCGACCTGAAAAACCGGCGCGGAGGACCGCCGTTCGCCTTCGTGGAGTTTGAGGATCCCAGGTGAGGGAGCCGGGCAGGGAGGAGGGAGAGGCGCCGTGGGCAGCACGCGCGGCCTGCGCGGCGCGGGCCTAGGGGGAGGCGCGCGCGCGGTGGGTCCCGTGTCTGCACGATCCTGGTGGTCGGGGCACCCGGAGCCCTGCCTCGTTTGTGCTCGGGGGGCGTTTGTTATGCCTTTTTGTTTTTTCTCCATCGATTGGGCGCGGAGTCTTGTGCAAGTCGAGAGCTAAGGACCCGTTGAGCGTGCGCCTGGCTCTTACAGGTCATGCGGTGTCGTACCCTGTGGCCGGGGCGCTGGAAGTCGATTGCCTGGTCTGTGCGAGGGCGCACACGCGTGTTCCTGGCTACGTGGAGCTGTACCGAGCGTTGGTCAAGCTTATCTGTGCAGATCACTCGGAATTTCGATGAGGCCCTATAAAAACTGCGATGGTGCTGATATAAGCTTCTAGCCGGCTTCTCCCGCGACGCGGCGAGGGTCCCAAAACCCTCCAGAGTCTTTGTTCCTTTGTTGATTGTAAAAAGTTTTCTCTTGGCCCCGGTTTATATGCTGAAGCAGTGATGCAACTTTTCGATCGCCGTTGCAGCGTTGTAAATACAAATTGTCGTCTGTTAAACTTTTTTTTGTTTCCTTCCGCTGGAGATGAGGGACGGGGTCGATAATTAAAATAACCTCGGGGTTTCCCCTAACTTTCGGGAGATTAAACACCAGATGGGGGGGGGAAATACTAGTTCACAGCGCCGTGAAACCATGCTTCACCTGCTACTTTTCAAGCATGCAGGATGTTTCCCCTATTGTGGTGGTTTGGCGCTCATTTTCTCGCCATGTGACGACCGCCGCCAGCCTTGTTGTAGTGGAGGAAGCTGGCGGCGCTCGGAGCCTTCTTATGATTTCTGTGTCTAATTCTGTCAATCGCGGTGAAATATTTGGAATACTGGCATTCACCGACAAATGCTTTATCTTTATTGTAGTTTGCGTTTGCCCCCACCTCATTCCTGACCCCATCTTTGTCTGAAACAGTTCATGCGTCGACTTTGCTCACCTGGTGTCTTTTATTCCTGAGCTGCCCAGAAAAATGAACATTTATTCGTGCATGGGGGCACGTTCAAATGATAGTAGTGCCAATGGAACAGTTTCGAATTCATAATATCACGCGGTTATGAAAACGTGCTGTGCGGTTTGGTTTATCGCGATATGGGACCTGCTGACGACTCGCCGGAAACGCGGATGAGACTGAAAGACATGCGAATATACTCGAGGTACTTTCTGCAGCTGGTGTTCGCCTGTATACACGTGTCTTCCCCTGGCAAACTGTAGGGTGCCTTCCTGCTGTTGTGGGGAAGCATATTTGTTTAAATTAAGCTTTGCTAACCAGCAAACAAATCCACTGTCTTTCCTTCTTGTACACCCTGGTTTCTGAAATAGCTTCAAGTCCTGCGTGTGGTGCTGTTTTCAGGGATGCTGAGGACGCAGTATACGGACGGGATGGCTATGACTATGATGGATACCGCCTTCGAGTTGAGTTCCCCAGAAGTGGGAGGGGCACAGGTAGAGGGGGCGGAGGTGGGGGGATTGGAGCCCCCAGAGGCCGATATGGCCCCCCCTCTAGGCGATCGGAGTACAGAGTCATAGTTTCAGGTAAGCCTCACTACTGGATATTGCAAATCTCTATGCATGAAGTACAAATGGAGTCTGTTACTCTTAATGCAACAAATGATTCTATCTTATCAATTCTTCAGTATACTAGTCATGAATGATCTTTTTATCAAGAGAGAGAAGTTCACATTTGGAAATATTTCCCAATATTGTGAATTTCTAACTGCTGTGAAATCATTTCAACAGTTACAATTAGTCATTGGGCAGTAATAGTAATAATTGCTTACACTTATATAGTGCTTTTCTGAACACTCCACTCAAAGCGCTTTACAGGTAATGGGGACTCCTCTCCACCACCACCAATTTGCAGCATCCACCTGGATGCAGTGAGTGTTTTTTTGTGGGTGGTCAGTTACAAATGCATCTTTCATCTGTATTGATCTGGGTGCTGTTCAGATTGCTTCTGCTGACAAGCTCTGCAATTCTTGTAGGTCTTCCTCCAAGCGGCAGCTGGCAGGATCTAAAGGATCACATGCGTGAAGCAGGTGATGTATGTTATGCTGACGTTTTCCGAGATGGAACTGGTGTTGTGGAGTTTGTTCGCAAAGAAGATATGACCTACGCTGTACGAAAACTGGATAACACTAAATTCAGATCACACGAGGTAGGTTTGAGGTTTTCTAACTGGACCTGCATTGGATACAAAGTTCATAAATGTTGGATTTTTCTTTTAAGGTAAGCAAATGAGCTGGATTTAATGACATTTACTGGGACCTTCTTGTAAGTGAGATGTCCCAATGAATGTCGCCTGTAGTTTAAAGTGTCATTAGGCTTGGTGCCAAGCTCAGAATGCCATGCTGGAATACTGGCCCTGTGGTTTAAAAGATTTAACTGACTCATTTTTGCCCATTAGCCTATTCTAAAGAGGTATGTATGTTGGGCACTTTTTGAAACTAATGAAACGGCTTTCTAAGACTTGTATTTCCTGAAATATCTAATTTATGTGATTTCCCACATGTTTCATTTTCCCTGAAGCAGAAGGTGTCTCATTGATCTTATAGTCTGCATGAATGTGTGCACAGAAACTGCTACTTTGACAGTTACCTCTTGCATTGCAGAAGCTTCCCAACTTTTGGTCAGACCAGCGAATCTATTCGCAGCTTAAACACCTTTTAAAATTAAGCATTTTATCCTGGTCTAGTATTTTGTGCACAGCAAAAAAAAAAAATACCGCCCCTATATTAGAGGGCTGTTGGTCTGCTTCTCCTTTGGTCTTGCTTACCAGGGCACATACTTGTGCTAATGAGGGAGTAGATCTCAGCTTTAAACGGGGAGTTAGAATGATCCCCACCTGGCTTCCCTTTCTCCGTATCCAGAGAGGGTTGATTATAATTTGCCTTTAGGCAGAAGTCAAGAGGTCGTGGCTTAACGCAGGGCGGCTTGTAAAACCCTGGGATTCAAGTGTGTGCAGCTCGTGCTGCCCACTGAAAGGCACTAATGGGTTCACGTATCCCAGATGCCTCAGCAGTGAAAGGTTGGGGACTACATATTGGGATGCAGCCTAATTGCCTTTCATGTTGACAATGTCTTACTGGGGTGTCTTAGCCTTAATAATCCCCCCGTTGATTTGGGCAAAGGCCGTGTTTTTAAAAAAACCGTTAAACCTGTAAACCTGTTCTGGTTTAGCAGTGTCTTCTGACGGATGCAGGGATTCTTGTCAGAGGGGGAATCATGGCGCGTGCAAACCCGTAGCGGGGCCTGACATGAAAACCCAGTTGTTTGTAGTAGATGGAAGGGGACAGGCTGACAGGAAAGACAGAGATGGTAAGTGTCTGTGGACGGCTTCCCCCGGGGTGTTTTTTTCATGAGCCAGTTCTCTCCGTGTCCACCAGGGAGAGACCGCGTACATCCGTGTGAAAGTCGACGGCCCCCGGAGCCCCAGCTACGGACGCTCCCGCTCCCGGAGCCGCAGCCGCAGCCGGAGCCGCAGCAACAGCCGCAGCCGCAGCCGCAGCTACTCGCCGCGGCGCAGCCGAGGATCACCGCGCTACTCGCCGCGCCACAGCCGCTCCCGCTCCCGCACCTAGGCCCGCCCGCGCCCCGCGCGCCCCCGCTCTCGGGGTCCTTCGTTGTCGTACAGAATTTTCTTTCCCTGTTTTATTAAAGTTTGCTACGGTTTTTGGATATTAAATTGGTTTTGCTGGTGACCTAGTTCTTCATAAAAGAAAAACTGGTCTGTGGACATGTCCCCGTCCTGTCCTTCCCAGTCCTCCCACTCCGCAGTCGACATTTTCCCTGTGTGCCCTGCCTGAAGTGTATTTTAAACACTGTATAGCCTGTTTTTTTTTTTTACAAATTGAAAGTCTGGGGTCTTGGAGCCGAAAACAAAATTGGTATTGCTTTGTCTTCCACCATTTTGTCAAAGGTGGGGTTTACTGCTTGCTTGTTTGGGCGGGGGGTGGGGGTGGGAGGGCTTAACCTGCTTTTGTGGAACAGCGGGAGTCATTGTAAAAAATTTTTTACCTTTTCATGTGTCTTTCTATAGACATCTGAAGCGAAGGATTAAAGAATGCTTTGGAATAAAGGATTGTGAAGCACAATTCATTCATAGTAGGATAATCAAAGCGTGTCTAATTGGAGGAGGAGGAGCAGTCAGATCAATAATGGAGGCAATGGTATGACACCAAGTGCTTCAGTCACTTTTAAGAACTTGGCAGTATTGAGTTTGAATAGACAGCACCATGGTACTTGGTTTTTAGTCGCAGAATGCCATGACTGACACTTCAACCTTTTTTAAAACTTTAGTTGTGCTTTGCCATTTTATTTGACATTTATTCTCCACCCCTCCCCCTTCTGTCATTGATCAATACTGCTAAGCTTGCATGTCCTCGTCTGACTGAATGTAGTAATGCTTGTGCGCCGTCTCGTGCAGGGGTGTTTTTCCTTTTACCAGGTTCACATTTTTACGTGTTCTGTGCAGGAGTTATGTATCTTGATTTAAAGACCCTAGCATGGCATTGGACAGTAAATGTAACTTACCAAAATTGCAGTTTCCGTAACTTTTTTGTAATACATTAACATAGTGCCTGTGTAGCGTCTTAATTCCCTCAGCAAGCTGTAGTTTTGGTTAAAAATCTGTAAGTGTAGATATTTGAAGCATTGACCCCCTCAGTATGTTAAAAATACTTGCTTATACTGTGCTGCACCATTGACTTGCCTTGGGAGCTGATCATTGTCTGGCATCCTCCATTTGTTTTGTATATATTAATTTTTAACTAATAACCAGCCATATGATCTCCTCCTAGTTGCATCATTTTTAAGGAAAAAAAATAGCTGTTTGATTACAGTCCTGATTCTAACTTGTTGCCTCCTTTTTTTTGGTTTGCCGGTATTTAAAGGTTTGGATTGGAGGCGGGGCTCACTGGATCCCAATCCTTGGAGCCGGATCATTGGATCAATTCATAATCAGAATAGGATAGGGAAGGATGGATTCATGGAGCGGGATCATTTTACCGGGAACTGTAGGAGTGGATTCCCCCCACCAAACCACATAATCGCGGAATTCAAAATCATCTTTTTAATTGGCTATTCAAAACCAAAATCTCAATTTATCTTTTTTCTTTTAATTTTTGGAGTCCCAAAGGCACACGGTCATGGGATTTGGCTTTTTTATTTTTGTATAAGAGGAGCAAAGCGAGGACCAGGAGGCTGGATCAATCTCCTTGGATGGAATACGCATGAGGAGTTTGGTAAATAGATGGGAATAAAGTGGGAGGGATGGGGGTTGGTGGCTTAGGTTTAAAGTTCCTTTTGGGATGGTTATTGCCCTGATAAAAACTGGCGAGATCAGGCCTTTAATTGGATTACTTCAAAGTCATTTTGTTTAGTTTGTAGTTTTTTTTTCTTCACAATAAAAATCTAAAACTATTTGGGAGTTTGCCTTTTGTTTGTGTATTCAACATGGTGATTTCCTATGGCTTTTCTTTACAGGCACTGGACGAGTATGGTTTTCTAGGTCTGTTGTGTCACTTCGCCACATTAATTTGCTGGTGTTTATAGCAGAGTGAAGCACGGTTAGGACATCGAGTGTTTGGGAAATGCCCAGAGGGAGACATACCAGAAAGAACCTTGTCTCGAAGTCAGTCTGCGTGATGATTTGAAGGCTTTTACATTATGCTTCATAGAGGATACTGAATCCTTTTTTAAAGTACCTCTTATAACGCTAGATCCTAATTTCTCATTTTTCATAGACGGGATGTAAGATTTATTTTTAGTATGTTGGTTTAAGGGTGCTGAGTCAGGCTGTATGAGTAGTGGGCAACAGGATATAACTTGTGGGCTGCTGAGTGGCTTAAAGCACTATTCCCTTTTAGCTCTGGTATGAGGCTGTAAGAATCCCCTCATCCCTGAGAAAGATGTGAATTAAGATCCATTTATATTGCATTGGGAAACATCAGGTAAATGCCGTTTGTCCATTGTCGTCTAGGGCAGCCCTTTTAACTAGTATACATTACATACTAAATTCAGTTCTAGATTCTTTTTCATTAGATTTTGCATCCCATCATTGTCAAAATGTGGGATGGAGTTGTTGAACCAAAGATTATATATCTAGATAATACCGAAAACATGCTGGTCACCATTTCATCCTTGGTTACCTTAAAATGCAAATGATCTGCCAACGATTTTAATCCCAGGTCCTGGAGGGTTGGTGTGCAAGTTGGTTTTCTAAGTCAATTGGAAGCAGCAGCTGCAGAGTTGAGATGGTGATAAATTAGTGCAGTGGAGTCATTCGGATGTTGATTTAGAGAGCTCAGTTGGAATGATACCTAGAAGACTAAAACGAATTGGACCACCCCACTGCAAGTTCTGTTCATCCTTTTGAGTTTCTAAATGAATTGCAGAATTGGCTTGAATAAAAGAACTGTGGGTCCTGTAGCTATGTAGTATCAGATGGTATTAATTTTCTAGTGTGGAACTAATTCTGGAGTAGAACTGAAGTTATTTCCCTTTGCGATTGTGTTGCACTGCAGCATGTATGGTTTGATTGTGTGGTTACTTAGGAAGCAAAATCCTTGGTATTTCAAGTTCTGCAAACAATATAATGTGGTTGATTAGTGATTCATATCCCTGGTTTAGGAAAAAAATATTTTTAAAATGGAACTTGGGAGCTGGAAGATGTAGGAAAATAAGCCAATAACAGTTGATTTGCATGTGTCCTGTAATAATTGATATGTCAGTATATGTTTCATACATTGAGAGGCAGTAGGGATGGTGTCATGAAATGTGTTACCATGTACTTCATACATGTTGTGCAGTGTTCTGGGCATTAATATCTTCATTGGTTTAATCAGTCTTCATTTAAATAAAATTTAAGATTTTTAAAGAATGTTTGTCATGTTTCTTTTGGTCATCTTGAACGAAAATGGATGGAGATACTGTATGAATAGTAACTCCTTGTAAATGTAGGACATTTTGGAAGTGGTTTAAAAACACTTGAAAAGGTTTTTAAGGTTGTACCACTGTACAATTAGGGCTTGGAGCTGTCACAATGTCATGAAAGATCACAGGTCACAGAGTGAAGGGACTTGATTTCTATTATGTTATTAAGGGCAGCACAGTGATGAGCATTGCTGCCTCACAGAGCTGGGGCCCTGGGTTCAATCCCTGGGGTGCTGTCTGCAGGGAGTTTGCATGTTCTCTTCTGTGTGGGTTTCCTTCTAGTCCAAAGACATACAGTCATGCTTGAAAGTTTGAGAACCCTTCAAGGTGGTCATTATTGTAGATATATGAACCTGAACTCTTAATGAATGTCCTAAATAAAGACTTCCCACACATAAAAAGGGATTTGAACTGATAGATTATTAGACTCTATGTAACAAATCACCAGATATTCTTGTGTGCAAAAGTACATGAACAGTCAATAACACCTATAACCAATTATCAGTCTCTGACATCTTGCTGGAGGGATTTTACAATACTCCGCTAGCTCTGCGAGGTTTGAAGGAGAAGAGACCCTCTTCAGGTCCTGCCACAGTATTTCAATAGGATTTGGGTCAGGGCTTTGGCTTGGCCATTCCAGGACACAGAACGTCTTCTTCCTAAGCCATTCTTTAGTGGACTTGCTTGAATGTTGAGGACATTCTTCTCAAGAATTCCTTCATATTTCTCAGAATACATGATTCCCTTAATGATGTCAGGTTGCCCAGGGCCAGAGTAAGAAAAACAGCCCCATCGAGGACACTCGATGTGTGTCTGCAAAACAGTGGATTTGCAGAGTCCGAATCTTCTTGAAATGGCTTAATAACCTCGTCCAGATTGATGAGCATCTTCTCCTTTTTTCCTCAGTTCTGCTGATGTTTCCTTAGTTTGAGGCGTGATGCTAGACCTGTAGGAAGAGTAACTGACCTGCTTTCTTGCAATTGTTTATGTTTAATCCTCCCTAACACATCAATTCAGATTTTCAGTTTCATTGGTTATCTCAGTTAATTGGTTAACACTCTGCCATTGGCCCACCTGATCCTGCTTCACCCTGATGTAAGTCATAGAGCTAAGGGTTCACATATTTTTGCACATTGCACAATTTCTGTATACTGCCTGTATTATTTTGCTGCATGGACATTTTCTTTCAAAACACTCCCATTGGTGAATAATAATACTTTATTTCAATTCGGAAGCGACAGATTCTGATTTAAATATGCATTTTGTGGTGACAAAAAATCTCAAAGATTGATATGGGTTCACAAACTTTCAAGCATGACTGTGCTGATAATTGGCTTCTGCAAAATTTACTCCGGTGGGAGTGTGTTTCCTGCAGGGGGTATCCTGCCTCGTGCTCAATATCTCCTGGGATAAGCTCCGGGCCACTGAGAATCCGAATTGGATAGGTGGTTCCAGAAAGTGATGCGACACTGACAGCGGGGCCGTTTGTGTTATGAAACCAGAAAACAACCTTTGGGAAGAACTCCAGAAGTCAACGGGCTCCTGCAGCTGTGTCTTAGGTGAGTGGAGGGCTCCTGTTCGCTGTAAGGGACTGTGACAGTCAGCGTTCGTTCCCCAACGCCTTTTCCATCTGGGGTGGTAGATCCACAGGGCTCTGTCTGCCCCACGACTTCATGGGAGACCAGCCTCAGTCCTTGGGAAGAGAGGGAAATGTCCCCTTTTCATTAATGCAGACTTGCCCAGGCTGAGTTGCTCGTCCATGGACGTGCGGGGTGTGCCTTCATCGGTTTCTGAGACCACCGAGATGATAAAGCTACGTGGCCCAAGTTCCCCTTCCGATTCAGATTTAGTGGTTCAGCTGCTGTGCATGCTGGGTGTGAGCTACAAGTCATAAAATGGTAAGAAATAGGTTGATTTCCTGGGCTGTGATGAAAGTACTTGGAAGAACTAAGCAGTACTTCATGCTGCTGTGCGTGAAAGATCTGGGGTAGCTGCTTCTCCTTCACTCAGAGCTGGGGGGTTCTCAGTGAACATTTTGGGGCTGGGGATGTGCCCCCTAAGCATTTTCCTCTAGCAGAACCGGACCCAGAGGACGAATCTGCAGGGAAGCGTTTTTTCAAAGTGACAGGTGGGTCCTTGAGTCTTGCACAAAGGGTGGCGGGGGGATGGAACAAGCTACCCAGCCACGTTGTCAGAGCCGATAATGTGGTTTCTCTCAAGTAAAGGCTGGGGGAATTGCTTGGATCAGTAAGCTGCTGAGAATCAGACGAGCTGGGTGGACTCGGTTCACTAATTTCAGATCTAACTGGGGCTCCTCTCTCTCTCGAGTGTAAACTCGTGTTCACCCCAGAAGAGCTGCTTCCCAGATATCCTGGAGTTTCTCAGGGTAATTGCATTTGAAACGGCTGTAGAGCGTTAAATGACAACACTATATCATACCGCAACAAAGTTTAAAAATACCTGTGAACATCTTTAACCAAGCAGGAAGATAATGTCAGGTGCTGGAAACGCGGAGCACCGGGCAGACCAGAAAGTGATGAATTGAGTGTTTAATTTCGTAATCATCAAGAAAGTAGTACCCTCTGATCCAGCTGGAACAATTATAACATTTCGCTATGTAGAGCAGTATTATGTTCGCTGTAACTTAGCGAGGTTGCTCGGGCGGGGATGGATGATGTACTTTCCACCCATCTGGTGTATACATCTTGGGTGCTATTGTTTTTTTTTTATGAATGAAGGCTCGAATCGGAGCGAGAACATTAAAAAAGGGGAGCGAAAGACGATAAAAGCTCTTGACCGATACCGTATCTAGCGATTTTGTTTGTTTTGTCACGATTGCAAACAAAAAAAAAAACTTTCTGCATCGCGCCTTGCACGATGCTCAGATGTGATGTCACACAGAGGTCAAAACGGGATGCGGACCGGCCGCTCCGGACACACCTCGACAGAGGCCAAACTCACCTCGCTACCCCCCTCCCCCTCACCCTCACCCCCCACTCCGCTCCCCACGCCTCTCTCCCGCGTTGCATTGTGGGCTGAAATAAGATGCGGGCAGAGAGGAGCAGGAGGAAAATGCTTGCAGCGCGAGGGGAGTGGCCGCGGCTCGGCCAATGGGAGGCGCCGTGGCGTGCGGCAGTGCGGAGGGCGGGGGAGGTATTTTAGCCGGGCAGATACCCGCAGATCAGCTACGAGCAAATCTGTGCAGACCGACAGCCAAGCCAGCCGAGCCGCAAGCCGCTGAAGCAGTCGAGCGAGACAGCGAACCCGAGCCTAGCGAGGTGTGCTGGGTGCGAGGCGGTGTATTTGTGCAACATTAGAGACGAGTGAGCCGCGCCGATAAAGGTGAGCGACCTCCCCCCCCCCCATGAGTGGAAGTGGATTTAAGCAACTAGGCAGTTGTGCTTTTTTAGCTGTCTGCGCTATGGGGTAGAAAATCACGTTTCACAACACGACGCGACACCTGACTCTCATTGGTTTTTATTATTGCGAGTGGAGGTGGTTAAGGAGCAGCGTCGGTGCTTGTTCTGTGCGTAATTATAGTGTAACTCTTTTTTTTTGTGTGTTCAAACCGGCAATGCCCTTTTGAAAGAGCTCTTTTTTTTTTTTTAAGAGTCCCATGTGTATTGACGCCGTTTTTCTTCGACAATCGCCGTGTCTTCCACGCCACTCGTGGCCTGATCAGCATCAGCTGCGAGCTTCTGTTTCGCCCTCCTTCTTGGAAAGGTCTTGTCCGAGCAGCATGCAGCCGGGTGTCCGCTCGGTCTGCGGTAACGCGATGCCCATCTTGGACGTTCTCGTGTTATGGTCGCTGCCTATTCGTATGGCGATGAGGGCAGGGGCTGTGCATGTAGCGGGTTCAAAGAAGTGAGCTGGGAAGGGGCTCATTATGTAATCCTTTTGATTGAATTAACACCGGGCTTGGGGGGGGCAGCGGAGCTGTTCGGGATGTTGTGCTGCGTGGCTGAAAGTGTGCGCCTGACGGGAGCGCGGCGTTTTGTGCATCGTAATTTTCGCTTCAGTCAGAAGTCAAATAGGACGCTGGGCTGTGGGGGTGCCAGTAAAGACGACCAGTCATCTCCTAAACCTTTGCAAAGCTTGAAACCGCCCCCCCCCCTCTCTAATTTCCAGCACCTCATTTTGTGGCGTGGGGGGGGGCAGTAAACATTCTTCATCACTTTAAGCTGCATCGCAAATGTTAAGGGCGCTGTCGGTTTTTTTTTTTGTCAAAAAGACAATCTGTCGACAAGTGGATTGATGTCTTCCTGGCACACTAAGATTTTCCCCCTCCCTTACACTGGGAGAACCGATTTAGCTGCGGCTGTACTTGTGTCAAGTGCGGCCCCTCGCTATACGACGAGGGAACGTCTCTAGAATTAAAAACGTTCCCCTTGAACAGCAGCAAATGGGCGCTCTCGCCTGCGTGCGCACCGGCAGCGGGGGTATTGATGTCGCGTCACGTGTCATGTTCGGCCGGTGGGGTAGTTCCGGTGCTCGCCTCCTGCTGTCTGTTGGACGTGTTTGAAACGTGGGTTTTTGTTTTTTTTTTTTGTGGCGGGCCTTGGATAAGCCTCCGCGTGGGTTTGGACGAAGGGTCCCTTGTAACGTGCCCTTAACGTTTTGCTTATTTTCTTTTTAGCATAGCAAGACAATCCCGGGTTCCTTCTTGTGGTGTCGTTTACTGAAGCAGTGGGGGTGACTAGATTGAATGGAGAGTGTAAGGTTTTTATGCTTGGATTAGCAAGATGTCGGTATTTTAGGACCTATAGTTGGGTTCTATTTAATTCTGTAAAATCCCTCTGCTTGGGCAGAGAGATTCATATCCAGCAGCATGAACCCTTCGAGGCCAGCCTGGAGTGCTTCCTGTGGACTATCCAGCTATAAAGTCATATCTCTTTAATTTCCTGGTTTTACTCCCAGGCCCCCGAATGACTTTTCTGCTTCTATTAGTAAGCATTAATACTGTATGGAGAGGGGTGGGGGGGGAGATGCATGATGAGACTTTGCATTCCTGGCCACCGGAGGTGTTTGGAGTCCTCTGCTGTCCTTTCCGAAGAGGAGGTTAGGGGGGGAAAAGGACCACTCTGGACTGCTGGGGCTCGTCTCGGTCGGGCTGTTCAGAACCCGAGCCGGCGGCTCTCGTTAACGAAGGAGCCCCGGGTGGCTTTACGGACCTGCCCGTTCCCGTTGGCGACGGAGGGATGCAAGCTGTGCTCCCAGCATGGCTCGTGGCCGCTGAGCTGACGGCAGAAGCTGCCTGGTGGGCGGCTAACTGTGGTTCAGCTGACATCTGTGAAGGGCTCAGTCTTGATGGTGTTTCACTCGGCAACCATTAAACAGCAAGGTGCAAGTCTCAATAGAGAAACTTGCTTCCTCTTAACCTCTCTTGTCCACATCCTGTTCCATCTGTACACCTGCCAAAACTCCACAAACTTAAAAACATTCCTACAGTGCCGTAGGAGTGCTGTAAAGGAGGGTTTCTTGCGTTTTATCCGGCTAATTTAGGGGAGATTCCATCTTTCAGGCCCTTTCCTTCCAAAAAGGGCATTTGACTTGATCCGTTTGAAATGGCTGTGAATAAAAATGGCTGCTTTGTTTTAAACCCTTGTAATAAGTTGTGCTCAAGGGCTTTATTTTACTTTTTTGCCCCCTCCCTTTGTAGAGACGCCATGTCTGACAGGAAGGCAGTGATCAAGAACGCTGACATGTCTGAGGACATGCAGCAGGATGCCGTGGACTGTGCCACTCAAGCCATGGAGAAATATAATATTGAGAAGGACATTGCTGCTTACATCAAGAAGGTGAGATGGCTGTTCGTGAGCGCTGTCTGCCTGCGTTTGCAGTACATGTTTTTTTAACCATCTGCTTTACTCTTTAAATGTTGGTCATCCCCTCATTCCTGGTCGAGGTCACCACAACCTGGCGCCTGTCACAGAAACACAGGGTGCAAAATGTGGACTACTCAGGGTTTGAACACCCACTCATAGGAAGAGTGTGTGTGTGGAAGCCAATTAACCTGATCCACATGTCTGTGGACGTGGGTGAACATGCAGACTCCACACAGAAGGCAACTCATTCTGGAATCAAAGCCAGGACTCGGTGCAGCTGCGTCCTATGCACCACCGATTAGCTTTATTGCTCTAGTTCAGGTGGTGGCTGCAAAGGAACAAGTAATAGGTTTATTCCATGCTGGGGGGAAAAAAAAGGAGAAAGAAAACTGTTTGGGCCTTGAAGCCTTCTTCAGGTGTGAGCCTCACAGGCCCCCTGAAGTGGCCGAAACATTTTCTTTCTCCCTTTTTTTTCAGCATTGAATAAACCCATTACTTGTTGCTTTATTGCTCTGCTGACTGAATGGTAACAAATGGGTTCAGAAATGTTTGAGTTTAGAGAATCTGAGCCGTTTGTGCACACAGGAGTGCAGTGACGCATACATGTATAAGCACCCAATATACATTTTTTTACACCATGCTGTTTAATACACAACAGGAGGCATATTAGCCAAGCAATACAAAGTGCCACTAAAAGGAATGACATCCCATTCCCCCATCTTCCTGCAGCCATGCTAATACTGTTGTCTTGGCAGGAGTTCGATAAGAAGTACAACCCCACCTGGCACTGCATTGTGGGTAGGAACTTCGGCAGCTATGTGACGCACGAGACGAAGCACTTCATTTACTTCTACCTGGGCCAGGTGGCCATTCTGCTCTTCAAGTCGGGCTGAGCCTCGGCCGGCGCAGGAGAGCGGCACAAACCCTGGACTGCAATGCACTGATGGCGGACGCCACACCTCCCCACACACTTCAAAAAAAAAAAAAATGCGACTACAAAACTGGCTGTGCGCGACTGCATGGACTGTATACAATATTTAATGTGTATATGTTGCATTAAAAAAAACTTACTTTTCTTTAGTTGCCTGGAAGAAAGTGAAGCAACAGGAAGAGATTTTTGTTAATGCTTTTTTATTTTTGTTATTGCACTGAAGTTGTAAAAAAAAAAATAATGCTTTAACGGTGGCCTTTAAGTGAAAATAAAGAACTTATACAGTTACAAGGAATGTTAAGTCTACTTTACGTAGGGGATAAAGGTTGTTGATACTAAGGAAGGTGCATTGTTAAATGTTGTCAAAGGTTGTATCATTCCCGTCACTTAATATTCTTGCATCTGTTTTCTGTGTTTTCGTGTTCTGGGATTTTTTTTTGTGCTACACTTGCTTCCATTCTAAAAGGAATCTGGAGTCACAAAGCTTTCATGAGTGGGGTGAGGTCCTGGTGCTCCTGTAGAGAGGGATCTCCAAGTGCACACTAACCTGGAACTCATTTCCTAATGGAGCTCCTGGTGTTGAGCGGTGTAAACATCTGCTGAAATCCTGTCTGGCAGGGCCCGCACATCCTCGTTGAACTATAATACATGTGCTTGATTATCCTAAAAATGTAGGTAATTTTATTACACTAGAACTTCCATCTTGCAGAAATATGTGCTAGAACAAATTTTTAAGTCTAAGAAACCTGTAATGTGCAAAATCGGTCATGTTCACCTTCAGTGCTGGTTGATGGAAGGAAGCAGACTTTGTTCATTTTAGGACTAGAAGGTGGTATTTGAGAAAGATCTTCAGTTGAATAAGGAGAAGCTGTAGCAGCTGTGAAGGATAGCTGGAGTGTGTGCCTCCATTAATAAAATGTGGATCTAACCAGCAACAATAGGAGTCTTCACCAGTACAGTACTAGGAGACAAACTCAAAAGTGCTGAAAGAGCAGCTGCCATGGACGTCTATAGAGCAGTTACGTGTTGTCATCGCTTCGGTTTCTGTATGTTTTCCCTTTTGAAACAAATTACTGTGTGATCCATGCGTTTTTTTTAAAATAAAATACCTCTTGAGTTATAATGCTCCTGGGAAAGATGTGTATGTATGTAAAAATGTGCTCCATAAGCTTTCAGCCATGACCATACTTAAAGACTCCTGTACATCTTTTTGTCACATTAAAAAATCTGTGACCAACACGTCATAAATCGACGGCTTTCTATTTGTTTCAGATGTCTGATGAATGTGTTGTAGTCTCTAGTAAGTCTCCCACGCCATGCTGGCCTTCATTAAAAAAAATAATTTTCGTATATAGCGAGATGGGGTGATGACGTAATTGATCAGTTATGGTTGGGGGGATATCTGCTGAAAACCAAGTCCCCTTTCCAGTGAAAACTAAACGGTCTAAGAAATTAGTCGTTTGTCAGGATCACTTCTGTTGTCCGCATTGTTGTATCTTCACATGGATCGAAGAATGGCACGTAGGCGGGTGTGGAACAACGAACTATATATATTAAAGTAAAGTTTGGTTGTACAGAACTTTACACTACTGCTCCGACATCTTACTCAGGTAGCTCTCTCCTGCTGTTTTTATGCTCTCTACTTTTCCCCGGTTTTTTCCCTTCGCTTTCTGGTGCCAAAACTATAACAGCCGGGGGACTCCTACCACAGGAATATGGGGTAGAGCCATCTGGTGTACTATTACTTGTAATTCCAATATTACATAGACATGTATATGTAACTGTTGTTTCTCAATAAATGTTCACAGTATGAAATAACTTTTTTTTACACACATCTAAATCCCTAGTCTAGGACGTGCAGGGTAAGCTGCCTGACTTCCGCGACATCGGGGCGCATTCTTGCCCTTCCCGGAACACGATCTCACTCCTATCTAACAGTCTTTCAAGGAGGTGGGAGGACGTCTCTCTCGTGTGGAGCGTCGTGCGGCAGGCAAGTCTCCACTCTCCGGGGACGCCTTCTCTGCTTCCTGCGGTGCCACAGCAGGACCGCATTCTGCATCAGAGCTCTCCTGAGGCCCAACAGGCCCTTCTGGAAGAGGCTCCAGCTCTTCTGGGCACCCTCTATCTCCCTCTGAGGAGCTATCCAGTGATGGACTTGGATCTAAATAACGTTTTCTGATTTGATCAACATGTCTGCGCATTCTCTGTCCTTTTCATATGATCACTGTATACGACACAGGGCCTGAGCACGTCTCTATGGAAGCAGGTATCCATTTCGGCCCCAAACTGAAGTTTTGCACGAACAAGGGATCTCCTGGTGAAAAACTTCTCATTTTAGTTGTTTTGTTATGATCCAATTAGTTTTTTACTACACGCATTGTTGCACTTTTTACTGAAAAACTATCAGAGGCATAATGTGATTCGTTTCATTCCTATCTAGCTATATTCTCTACAGTGCCGTTACTCATATTAATGTTCAAACGTATACGTTAAGTTTATTTTATCACCGCAAATGTCACTGTGTAGTGCCATATCAAAGAGCACCACCGAATGCGAGAAACAAACAGGATGCTGTCACTAGACCCGCCTTCGCGACCCCGGATGTAGATACTGGTTTCCATCGCAACCCCTCCCCCCCTTGCCCACGCCTCTGTGACTGTCATGGCTGCTAAAACGGTGCCATTGAGGATGGCTCTGCCGCTTTCCTACGGCGATACCGTAAGCTGCCAGCTCGCAGCTTGTACTGGGGTTACCGAATCTGGGGCAGCGGGGTCGGGCGGCCAGTTCAGCCGCTGTTACTCCAAACTATGTGCGCTCCACCCGTCCGACAGCGAGAGCTCCAAAACTGAGATGAACCTCCTCTTTGACCAGCTGATCTCTGAAAACTACACAAATAACTACGGCGATAACGCTAACATTAGCCCAGCGGTGAGTAAACATTAAGAAGTAAGCGTATTCTTTTGCAGGTGTTTAAAGGTTCGTATTAAAAAAGGGAGTTGGTTTAGCCGCTTGATCATAACTGTAGCACATAAAAGGCGATCTTTTTTATGGTAGTCGCCAATTCCCGGTGTAGATTTGCGATTTGCGACTGAATTGAAGTTTCATTAAGATCGATTGTTTTTCTTTCTGTCCGGAAAGAGGAAAGCGGGAAATATTTTTGAATCTGGCAGGCAGTTTGTGCGGTGTAGTGTCACTCCTCACCCGGGGTCGGTCTTGGTTTTCCAGGATGTCTGCGCCCTGCTCCTTCAGGCCAGTCGACTTGTCCCCTTCAGCCAGGAGCATCTCGTCAGCAAGCTGTGTCAGCTGATTCATCACCTCCTCAACCGGCTTCAGGTAGTGTGTGTGTGTGTGTGTGTGTCGATCTCTCTGTCTGTGATGAAAGAAAAATTGTTTAATGTTGTTTAACTGGTTGTTACAATCCAGAAATGCAAAAGATCTGACCTTGACCAACCAAATCCGTGCCCAGTGAGAACAGGATTTAGAGGGACAGTGCTCATTGTTATATTGTTGTTTATCATTATTTTTGCCTCACCTGTAACCCACTTTCATTAATCATAGCTGGATATTCTTGTGTGGACTCAGACTGCAAGCACAGGGCACAGGATTGATGATTACCATGGCATGAAGAGCTTAATGGACAGTTTTTTTTTT